GGGGGATCGGTCAAAGGACAGACTCAGTGATCTTGGAGGTCTTTTCTAACCTAAAATGATTCTGTGATTCTGTGATAAGTGCAGGTAGAACTGAGCTATGCTTTTGGCATATGTACTATAATCCTGATATCTCTGTCTTGAAGAGTTAGCAGTTGATTGTGAGCTCACTGCTGTGATGGTCAGACACTGAGTTGATTGCTCACACTTCCTCACTTCAGTTCCCTGGAGGCAAAACTCCTCTCCTGCTTGTGCCTTCAATCCTGTGCATCTGGATAATGAATTTATTGCCATGTTAATAGAGGAAAAAAACCCGGTAAAGAGTGTTGTAGGTATATGTCTATTTCTAGGGCAGGAATGAAAATTTGAAAGGCTTCACTTTGTCCTCCAATTTAAGTTGCACAGTCCTTACTGGATAAGAATCCTTGCTGGATAAGCATCCTTGGGGAATAGTGAAATTGTGAGTTGCCAGGTTTGTACCACCTGAAATCATGTTTCTCTCTAAAACAGATCTCTTCTGTGTTGTACAACTGACAGGACTTCAGCTGCAAAGTTTTAGCAAGCATGACAGCAATGATGAAAACACGTGGTGGATTGGTAAGTGAGTATCCTGGGGGACTGGCCTGTAGCCTGCCACCATCTGACTGTGCCTTACGGAAGAAAAACATCTCTACAGAGGCAAAGTTCAGAAGACTTGAAAGTCAGTATTGGAGGAACTGTTTTGGGTTCTCAGAAAGCACCAGTTATGTCAAATGGAGCTGAGAAAATTAATAGAACTGTGCCCTAGGCAAGAGTCAGACTTCAGTAGTGGAGACCTAGAATTTGTTTCAATAAATAGGTGAAACTTCTATTTGTATTGGTCAGGAAAGAGAAGCTGTGCTCAGATGAGGAAGCCTTTGTTGCAAACCACAAAATCCACTGATGTTTCATAGATGATGTTGCCATCTGCACAGCCATTGCAAGATCCTTTTGCACCATGAGCTGAAGTTGCTCCCTGGCTGGAATGGAGACCTCACCACCAGTTTAGTCCAGGTGGGAGAGCCAGGGGTGAGCACAGCAGAGGGGGAAACACAGAGCTGCAAAGGGAATTTCTTCTTGGTTTTATTGCCTTGACTGAGGTAGTGGACCAAAGAGCCTTGCTGCAGACAGTGTCTGCAGGGAGACTGTGTTGGAGAGGTTGTACAAGATCCTTACAGTGTTGTTGGTATTCCCCATCTGCCACAGCCATCAAGGGGCTTGGCCTGCAGTGAGATTAACAGCTTCTATCTCCTCAGTGTGTAGTAAATAATAATAAAGTCACAAGCTTGTGATCGAACATCCCTTTTGGAGAAGGAAAAAGGGTTCAAAATCTCCAGATTCCTGGTCTGATGAACTCTGTAAGGTAGGAAAGCAGAAAACAGGTCCAATGGTGTCAAGAGGTCAGATGTCTATAACATGAAACCTGGTGTATATTTATCCTTTGGAACATATACGTGCAAAGTGAAAGATCAACTGGTTCTTAATTTCTTGCCGGACGAATTAATTAAATCTTAGAGAAGTGGGAAGGTTCCTTGGGTCACTGGGCTCTGGTGTGAGATGGGATTAGATAAGAAGCACAAAATCCCCAGTCTGTTGTGCCAGGGCTGAAGTAATTTCCTCTGAGAATAACATTCACATTACAAACAAACCCTGTTCTTATAAATCGCCCAGTTAAGAGCAGTAGAGTCAGATGCAAAGTCTGAGTCATGTGAGAACTCTGAAGGACATGTCCCCACATGGCTTTTGCTAATGGAGGTTGAGGAACAGGTGTTTTCTCTAGGGACCTCTGGAGAGATCTCTTAGGACAGGCAACAGTCCCTCTTGAAGCCCCTTCCCCCCAGAAAAATGACTGTACTGCAATGGGTGAATCTTAATCCCTGGTCAGAGTTGGTGAATCCAGAAGTCATGTCTTGTTCATGGGAAAGTCTTGTGTATTAGCCACCAGACCTAGAAGTGTATCTGGCAAAGGTTTTTCCTAAAATGTTTTTTGCCTTTGGGATTTTGTTATTCTCTGGGCAATACCTGGATTTAAACTCCTCACAAGGCACATGAGCTGCTCTGAGATACCAAGGAATATGTCAGGTAGATCATTGTCTTTCAAATATGCAGCTGTGCTTTTCCCTTTAGAGCAATAACACAACTGTTTGTGTCTGCCTAAGTAGTCTTGCTTTGCAGTTCCATCAGTTTAGCTTTGAGACAGAAATGTCCAAACCCATGGAATCTGCATTCTACAGGTGGAGACATAAATGTGAACAAGTTGCTTGGCTTCTAGAAAGAAGGTGATTGAGTAGGCAGTGGAGTATTTGTCAGGCACACAGACCTAGAAGCAGGTTGTAGCACTTAGTAACTATCTTGGAGGCAACTTTCTTAGGCTCTCCTCTGGAGCCCAGAGGTGTCTGTGCTTTAACAGAGCGTAAACTGGAATATGGGAGGGACAGGTTGCTCCAGATCACATTGTGTGACCACCTAGGAGCTGGGATGTGCTCTTTAGTGGTCTTGGCTTTTAGGCTTGTGGGCTTCTCACATGTTGTATGTTTGCTTATGGATGTATGTTTATATTTTGAGTGTACGAATTTTCCAGGCTGCCAAGCCACAGCTGCCCAATAAATGTTCCCAAGGGAACACAGCTGTATTTTTCCACCCTCTGTACTGGTGGGAGGGAACAAAACCAAAAACATGTGGCCAGGGCTGTTGTTGCCAAGCCTGGAGTAAGCAGAGCTGTTGCTGCAGTTCGTCTTCAGAGGCATGTTCACTGTCTGATAAATTATGGGGAAAGGTTGACAGCTTACAGTTGCTTTTGCTCTACTTGAGCATTTCCTTTGCAAAAGGAAAATCTCATCCTTCTACTGCAGGCAGCTTGGCTTCTGGCAGGGCAAGGATGTGCAACAAACAGTAAATTTAGCTGGCAGAAGATGAATTAATCCTTGTGGTGCTGGGACTGGAAGGACTGCACCCCTGTTTTCTCAGATCTGTGAATCTTTTGGTGAGATCCAGTCTCCTATGGATTCCAGGTGACGGGGTTCTAAGAACAAATAAACCTGAAGTTGGGGTATCAGTCATTAGGAGCTGCCTCCTCCTGTGCCACAACCTGTCTCACAGTATAAGCCTCTGTTTTGGAGAACTGAAATAATTTGCTCATTGCTTAATGAGAGTCTCTTACTCCCACAGACTGCTTGTGTTTCAGGCTGGAAGTGCTTTCAGTTTTGGTTCCAAATGTGTGAGCCTGACTTGCCCAGACAATCAAAAATGACCTCTAGGCTGCTTTTGTGTGGCAGCAATACACTTGGGTTTAAATCATTCCTGTGTTAGTTATCTGGGATTCAGCTTTATTGTGGCTGCATGGATCACATCTGGTCAGGAGACAGTGGTAAAGCAAAGAGAACAACACGTGCACTTAACTAAACCTTGTCTATGCAGTTCAGAATACAATAAATAGGGGAAGGAGTGTTGGGCTGGTTGCAAATGTTCCTCAGCAGTGACTTTTTCAAGATGTGCTCAGATTAGACTGTTGGCTGTCGTAGGCTACAAGAGGAAGCAGAGAGATTAAATTTTCCTCTTGGCAGAGTTAAATTTTCCTCTTGGCAGAGCGAGCAGATTCATGGAAGTCACATGGTGAGCAGGAACAAGGCTGGGTGTGGAGAAAGAATCATAGAATTGGGCGGGCAGAGGTGCAGCCTCCAGGTTGGTGAGAGGTGAGTTAGGAGGGCCAAGACACAGCTTCTGCAGCAAACCCACTGCTGGTGCTGGGCAGGAGGGAAGAGTTCCTGTCCCCATACTTGGACAATGTGGCAACAACCCAGTCCATAAATCTCCACTGCAGCCCTGAACTCGAAAGCAAACTTGCAGGTTAGCTGAGTGCTCATGTTGCAGCAAAAAGCAAACACTGAGAAGAAAAATAGTCTGAGTGAGGGGAGAGGAAGAGAAGATTCAGTGAGATTTTCTAGAGCTCCTTGCCCCAGAGAGTCAGAGCTGCTGTGGGCTGGGCTGTAACCCCCAGAGGTGCCTGGTACCCCGTTATCAGCAGTCCCATGTCATCTGCTGCCTGTCACGGTGTCGGTTCGGCCCCAGCCTTGGACTGTGGACTGTGATCTCCATCTCTAGGGCAAGGTGCAGGGCCTGACACCTGTGAGCTTGGCTGATGTGCTGATGGGTAGGCTGTCTGTCTGTCTGTGAGTCCGTCTGAATGCCCTGTGAAGGAGCAGGATGGCTGCTTGGGACTCCAGTGCACTCCTTGTGGACTTGCTGGCCATGGGGCAAATCTGCAAGCAGGTGTAGCTTATCCCCAAGGGCATTAAGCACCCTCTAAATATACCTGTGTTTTAGGACAAGATGGTCAGGGAAACATCAAATTTCTTTAAGGTGTTTTTGAAGGAAACTGTGTGTCTCCATTGACAGGCTGCTCAGAGGATCTAGTTTTTAAAATCTACAGATGATTAACTAATGCAAGACACGGTGTATGATTTTCGTTGTTATAATGAAGTCAGAGGGCTGCCAGTCAAAGTATTTAATACAAAATCAGTTTTTCACCTGAGGAGCTGTTTTACAGCCCACTGTATATCTCAATATGCCACTGGGGTTTTTAAGATGTCAAACCAAGGCTTCCTTAGGGGGAGGAAAAGGAAAATAATCCGTTAAAACTTAAAATGTATAAATTTATGTCACCACTAAGGTATGTACGTGAGGATCATACACCAAGATGTTACCTTAAAGGAAACCTTAGACAAGGGGTAGACATTTGTCTGTCAGTCAGAAACCCTGGGTACCATATCTGCCATGCAGTGGGGATCCCTGGCCAGAGGGAGCTGGAGGAGGAGGCCGTGTGCTTGGCCTATCAATGGGGTGCTGCTGGCTGCCCTAAAATATTTGTAATTTTCCAGCATCCACTTGCAGAGGCGCAATTTCCTCCAACTGCCTTTGACACATGCTCTGCTGGTTTTTGACTTGAAGGGAGGGGAGATGGGGTAGAAGCTAGAAAAGCCTGAGCCAAAGCACTCGGTTAGAGAGAAGGTGGCAGCCTGGACTAAAGCTCAGGGTAGGTAGGTGTAAGAATGTACCAAGGAGTGATGTTAATTCAGCTTTGTGTGTGTGATTATTACATGGGGTCTTAACCATGTAATAGGTCTTTAATGCCCTGAGCCTCCAACATGAGTGTAATGGCAGCCAAATATCCTGGCATTGGAGCATTTCTCTAATACAGAAGCTGCAACCCTGAACTGAGCAACCAAATTGCTCCTATGGTGATATGGAAACCTCAGGGAACTGCATCTGGTGAATCTTGAAGATCTGTGCCTGAGAAAAGCTCTACCTTTCCTTGTGTGAGCAGCTGTCTGGTGCTATGTGGATGTTTAAGCAGTGAACTGCTTGGCAATAAAGGTCACTGTTGTCACTGTGTTCGTTGTCATAAAAACTTATGGTTCTTCTTATTATATCACAGCCATAAATTACATCATGCACTATTTTATTGACATAAATAACAGATTAGCCAGGGAGTCAGTCACGAACATGAAAGTGGTGGTACTGCAGGTAAGTTTAGATTTGGAACCCAAAACCTGTGTAACTTTATGTGCTTTGTCTTACGGTCTCAGACAGCTCATGTTTCAGGAAAAAAAAAAAGATTTCCTTATGTCCTGTTTAGCAGTGGAGAAACAAAGATTTGTTAAGGTCACCACGGTGTTTTTTTCAAGGAGTAATCAAAGAAAATGGGGATCACATTCTGGATTTAAATTGCAGTTTCTCTTTTATGATACTTGTCTGCTATTATTAAAGGAAAAAGTGTAACAGCTAGTTTTGATATTAAGCAAGAATAATTCTGAGAATTTGTTTTAGTTTCCTTTCACAGAAGGCTTTGGATCCTGTTTTAATTTGTGCCTGACTGGTGAATTACTTGGCAATAAAGATCATTTTTTGTCATAAAAGACCAACTGTAATCATAAGCAGTTATAGTTATAATGTTTATCTTTCAGCCATAAATTACTTCATGGTCTATCTTCTTGGTGTACCAGATTAGCAGGGGAATCCCTCACAAATGTGAAAACAGAAGTGTTGTAGATAAGTGAGGTTTTGAAGCCAAAACCAGTGAGAAAACATACTGAGACCAAAGGTATAATGGGACATCGACTGTTAATGCTGAGACTTGGGACAGATCCCTGGGCTACCTTATTGCTTTCAATTTCCTGGAACATGAAATAAGACATATATATAAAAAAAGGGTAACAGTTGCTTGAAGCAGAAAGGAATAGAAGCCCAAACCACTTCTTGTAGTCATGCATATAGCTAAGAAAAACTCTAGGTTCTTCTGTGATCACTGCATTTGATTTTCATCTCACATCTTCTGGTTCATTTCTCACGTTGAGTTTCTGGTTAATGTTATTATTCTGGGTATTTCTGTATTCAATGAAAGGGGTTTTGTGCTATCAGGGTGGATCAAAGTATAAGATTCCTTAGCTAGAGGAGAAAGTCCATGTTGGAGGTTTTCACTTTTGAAAGTCAAAATGAAGCCTCGTTCAGGAGTAGAGTTTCTAGGACTATTGCAATATAAACACAATTTAGTTGATGAATAAGTAAATTCCTCAAGTATATTTTTGGGTAAGTAGGAGAAGGGGAAAGTCCTTGCTGAAGGCATAAATAGCTCATATTTTTTTCTATTTAACACATACTTAATTTACCATCAAAGGATGCGGTGCAAGCTCTAACTGTACAAAGTAAAATGAACTTCTCAAAGGAGTTTTTAAGTACTGAAGTTCTTTGCCTGTTCCTGGAAATTCTAGATTAGGCAGCAGATGTTTCCCCTGGACTTCTGCTCTATGCTTGCAGAAAGCAGGCATTTGAGGAGTTGAGTACCACTCACAGGGAACAGTGAAAATGGAAAAATCACATGAATACAGTGCCTGGGGAACTCAATGCTGGGATGCTGAGGAAGAGGCTAATCTGAAACAGCTCATGTGGCTTGGAAACTAACTCTTCCTGTGAAAAATGATTAAGACAAAAGAAAAATCAAAGTTTTGGGTCAGATTCTCAGAATATTGATATCTTTTGTGCTGACAGCTTGCACTAGGACTGGAATACAAGCTGCTGTTTAGCTGGGCTGAATGGGAGTGAAGGGTTTAGTCCTGTTAGCAATTCCTCAAACCAAGCAATCCTCTGGAGATCCAAAAAACCCCAAGGTACATTTTTGCTGCAACACTCCTTAGCTACAGCTTGTTTTCTTGTGATAATCTGCATTGGATATTAAAATATGTTAAGCCAGTCCTGGCTGAGCAACTCAGCCCAGCCAGCAGCAGCCAGTGAGACCTTTGCGGCCAGGGGTCACTGTCAGAATCTGTGAATTAGCATTCAGGAGCATTTGTGACTGGCACACAGTTGGGTATTTTTGATCATAAGTTCGCTGTGAAGTCACTGTTAAAGACTGTGCCCAAGAGCCAGGGGGCAAGACTGTAAGGAAAAAAATTGCAGACCTGGGACCTACTGTGAGAGTGGCTGCATTTACCTCATGCTTTATCCCCGGAACTGATGTCAGTCTTTAACTTCTCCCCCAGAGATGTGGAAGCCTTGTTTACATGCTGGAGGTGACCCTTCCAGGCCAGGGCAGGAAGGGCACAAACTAAGGGAAACAAGGAGTTTTGCTGTGGGGTTTTTTGTTGGCTTGTTTGGGTTTAGTGGTGGTGGTGTGGTTTGGGTTTCTTTTTAAGGAAATGTCTCAAGTTTAATGTCCTGGGCCTGGAACAGGAAAGTGTAATGGCAGACAAATGTCCCCGCATTGGAGCATTTTTCTAACACAGAAGCTGCTGCCTTGGACTAGAACTGTAAGGGCAAACCAAACCAGCCAAATTCACTGGAGGGACACTGTGGTTTTGCAGCACTGTGATTAAATTGAAACTGAGCACTTCTGTATGATATCTGCTAAATAAACCCCTGAAATTGTGTCTGCCCAGGCTCAGCCTCCATCTCTTCCATGACAAGGGACCAGGTGCTGCAGCATTTAGGATAAACCAAGCACTTTAATCCTTCCAGGAGCACTGGTTTCTTCTTGGAGCACAGTTTGCAAACCTTTGGACCTTTTGGTCTGTGGGTCACGTGATAAAAATAGGGACAAAGTGTAATGAAGAAGTGTTTTGGTGAAAGGGTGGACTGTGTACTTGGAGAAAACATTGCTATTTTTAGATCCACATAAAATTTATGGCAGCCTAAGCCTGGGAGTGCTGCTTGTGACTGGCTGTGGGACACTTTGCACAGGGCAACTGTGAACTGCAGGGCAATGCTGAGGGAGGAGAAAAGTTTGTTATGGGTGCTGAAGACAACAGTCAAGTCAAGGAAAGGAGCTTATGGCTCTGTGGATCTACCTGGCCTTATAGAGAAGAGGGGAAAGGAGAGGGTCAGCCACTCTCCAGGTCACTTTCTTGGCTGTAACCTTGTACTGATTTGCTGATGATTAAAATCAACTTGGATAGCTTGACTTGCCTCCTTGCCACCCTAAAAAACCCCACCCAAAACAGAGATAAGAAGGCAGCAGGTTTTACCCTCACCTGTCCCCTGTCCCCTGTGCACTGAACTTTTCCTCCCCCTGTCCTGTGGTGCCAGAGTCAGATGAGTTTATCATTTGAGCCCTCTGTTTCTTACTATTCATTACTCATTAGGGGTTCCTTTGGTTTACCTCTGCCCTTCCACTGGTCCCAGTGGCTTGTGGCAAGTTACGTGATGGACACAACTTCAGTCAAACAGCAGAAGTGCTGCTGCTGCCCTGGTGTGTGTTCTAGCAGGGTATCCTTCAGCACTGATCCCTGCCAGGGAACAAACCAAGCTCAGCACCTCAGATTCTCCTGCTCTGGGACCTCCTGCAGTGCCAAAGGAGCACCAGACTCAGGAGCAGATCTCAAATCCAGTCTTTTACATTGCTGTTGCAATGCCCAGAGGGACAGAGTTTCTGCCCGGGTTTAACCACAAGCAGGTTCCCGGAAAGTTTTTTTACGAGGTGTGGGTTTTTTTCCATGCAGAATCCCATGCAGCAGCTTGGACTTGCCTTGTTGCATTGCTCAGTGATACTGCTGACCTCAGTCCAGAAGTGAAAGTGAAAATCCATTATGAAACCTAGTTGAATTATAAAGAAGGAGGAACCCGTAGTGTGTCTTTTTCTCTGGGATCCAAGAGGCTTCTGCATCTCCTGTGCAGGGCTCTGGAAGAGAAGCTGAATGATTGGGAGTTGGAAAGAACTGCTCAGACACTCGGAGAAGGGAATGGAAGAGGCAGGAAAGCTTCCTCAGACAAAGCAGCTTTTGAGGTACTCACACTGTCTTCTTCTTTACAGGGTCCTGTCTTACGGTCAGTCTGTTCTCTTACAAATTCTTGTTTCCTGGTTTTTAAGTAGACATTTAGAAATGGGCACTAAAATGGCTGTGGCAGGAGGGAAGTGTTTAGTGTGCTGCACATTTTCTCCATAAGGAAGAATGTGTGTTACTGGTGCTCGTGATCTTTCTTACTAAATAACTCCACCTCTGTAGCCCTGGCTGGCAACTTCCATGCAGCTCTGCACTGAATTCACACTGATTGTGTGAGTGCAGAAACTCAACAGCTTCATCAAGCAACAAAAACCCCAGCCTGGTGGCTCTGGGTTCAGAATAAAACAAAACAGAACCAAAACACAGAGAGCTAGTAAATAAGGACAGAGGTTTTGAAATAAAAGAAGTTGAATCAGTGGAACAGTCCATTCATTCTGCTCTTCCTAATGTGCTGCAAGCCTAAAAAAATTAGTAATGTTTTCCAATGGTTACTGTGGAATTTCTTTCCAGAGAGTTGGTGGGAAGCGAAAGTGTGCTTTACATTCAGGATTTTTGCAGAGATTTCTCAGCTCAGCCACAATGTCCTGCTGGTTGCTTTCTCTGCACTACCTTGTTGGAGCTGTAAAAACAAACTGCAGTCATAGGCTCATTCAGGAAAGAGCTGTTTCATCCCTTCCCATGATTTCATTTTGTTGTTTCTTTTCCTGTAAAGGCTTGTTGAGAGTGGTATTCAGGAGATCAAAGAGTGAAACTGGTACAGAAAGTGATAGAAAAATTATGTCTTCTGTGAGTACTGTTCCTTTTCTGTGAAAGAACTTAGAGTAGAAAATAAAATCTATAAGTATCTTCCGAAGTTCTTTGGGGTTTATTCTGTTGCAGCCTTACTTCCTTCAGTAGTATTATTTTCTCCAAACTGATCGAAACTTAAGCATTCTCCGTGGGATCTTTAGGGTACCAAATAAATCTTTTAGAAAATGTATTGCATTGTTTACAGCTGGAGAACAGCACTGGATTTTGTGGGTCCATGACTGTGTTTAATGGTTTGCTGGAGAGGGAAGCACATCCAAACCCTGGGGCAGCAGCCCTGCTCTGCCAGCCCCCGTGGCTGGGATTGGGGTGACCCCCCACCTCAGCTCTGCTCTGGTCACCTTGGGGGGCCCTGCTGAAGCTGTGCCAGAGGCAGAGGTCAGAAAGCCTGAAAACACACACTGGAAGGGCAGTGAGCTCTTTAACTTGTGTTGGAGTAGGAATAAGCACAAAAAAATGTGTGAGAGTATTTCAGGTCTCTTAACCGTTCAGGCCAGTTAAGAGTTAACTTTGGGAGAGGACACGGCTGGAAGTGATGCTGTTGCATTAATGGGTTGGTGGAACAAGAGGAAATCCTTGCAGGACTGTAGAGGGGAGCAGGAGCTGTGTGGTAAAGTGGAATCACTGGTCCCTCGTGTGGTGTGAAGTGGAAGTGGACGGATCTCGCCTCGGAAGGTGCGTGTGGAGCAGTGCCAGGACCGCGGCTCGGTCCAGCACATCCCATGTGTGGGTGTCAGTAGCCTGAGGCACTGCAGAAGTGTCCCTTTTTTTATTCCAGGGGAACTTTTGCAGCTGGTTCCTGTGCCTGTTGGCAGCTGGAACAGGTTTGCCTTGAGGGTTTTGTTTCTCCTGTATCATCTGGTTTTGGGGTGGAACTCTCAGCAGCTCTAGATTAGCACAGACCATGAGAGACAAGCATTTATAAAGTTCTGATGAAGAATTACTGCATAATTGGGAATTAATGCATAATTAATTTGGAAATTTCCTCAAGGTACTTCTCAGGTGGTGACAGCAAAAAAGTTGTTTAATGAAAGCTTCTAATGAAAAGCTCCCAAGAGCAAAGCAGGTTCTGTTTTCCAGGGCTAGGATGATAAAGAAACTTTTAATTTTTTTTCAGTTTTCTTTTTTCTCATTTGGAAAGTGAAACTTGTATTTTACTAAAACATATTTCACAAAGTCATGACAGTTTCATTGAAATAACTGAGAATGAATTTCTGACAAAAGCCAGGAGATTTTTTGGAAGGAAATACCAAGTTTTCATTTGTTTGTTCATTTGATTTGAACTGGTATTTCCTGTCAGATTTCTAAACTAAAAACAGAGTTCAATTTGACAATAAATATTTCATCTTACGTCAAGTGAAACACTCATTGAGCACAAAATATCTTTCTTATCTAATTTTTTGGTGTGTTTTGGAAGCGACAGCGAGTCAGGCTGTTATCTGTTGCATGTACTGCTGAGGGATGTGTGCAGGGCACTGCTTTGAGGAGCCTGGAGGACCTGGACACGGAGCCTGCTGCCCAACAGGCTCAGGAGGGATTGCCCTTTCCCTGCAGAAGGACCACGTGTCTCCTACTGCTGTGATTGAGCCAGAGGTGGAAAGGGCTGTGAGTTTGGCACTTGCAAAAGCCATTGTAGTGAGAGCTGAGCAACACTAGCGTTCCTTTGCCTTCCATTCCTTCCATTCCAGATGTCTTGGCCAGGAGCAGCCTTACAGCACTTGGCCTGACAGCTGATTTCTTTTTGTCTGAAGAAAGATAATAAGAGATAATGGATGCTAAACACTGCATTTAATGTCTCAACAGGAAGATGACTAAGGGAGGAGCCTGGTGAGCCTGACCTGGGACCACAGAGGATCTCAGAGAACATCCAGCACCACTGGAACTGAGCACCCAGGGCAGCCAGATGGACTCTCCCCACCTCATGGGGTTGTGTTTCCTGCTCCTGGCTGTTGCAGCTCCCCGTCCAAGTGAGTCTCCTTGTATGACCTCAGTGCTTTTCCCTGCACATCAGTAGCTAAAAAACTTTTAGCTGGTATTAGAAAGCTCACCTATGCCCAGTTAAAGCTAAAACCACAAAAGCTCTAGAGTGAGAAAAGAAATTAAGGTGAAGGTGGGTTTGTTTGACCTGTCCCAATGCCCTGTTTTGGGAGGGGTGACTCTTTGGGTCTGTCTGATGTCAGATGAGGCGAGTCCTCTCCTGAAGGACCTGAATAACCTTCTCCCTGGGGGAGTCTGGATGAGTAAACCTGCACACTGCACCCAGTATGTGTAGTCTGGCAACTGTGAACTTCATTGGTCTTGGGATCTGGCAGTCTGCTGGAGGGACACCTGAAAGGATTGTGCCAAGGCCTTGGGAAGGAAAGGAAACAAGAACAGATGATTCATCTGAGCTCAGTAAGAGAAAAGCCTTTCAATTGACTTCCCAAGCTGCCAACTTCCTAGTTTAAAACAGTTGCAGCAGTAAGGAAATCATATCCTATTTCTGCCCCCAGATTATCTTGTGAACTGGCCCCAATACTGTGTAAAATTTGCCCATTGGCAGACAATGTCTCCTAAGCCCTGACCAGACCTGTCCACCCAAACTCATCCCATTCTCTAACACTAAACATGTGGAGTAAACTGGTATAAAATACTTTTTCTTTGTTTTCTCCTTTAGATATTGCCATGGCCAGTGGTGACTCCGCTGAGAGAACACATGACTCTTCAAATGTGACAGTCTACTACTGTAAAGATTGCACAATCAGTGAATGTGAATCAGGCAATTTTGTAAGATTTGTAAAAATGGCTGAAACAGAAAAAAACAAGGGGAAAATTGAGTTGGTGACCAGGAAAACACACATCCTTATGTGCTTTCAGCAAGGAAATACCTTTTCTGAAGGAATTTATGGCATCGTCTGGAAAAAAACTGGGGGATTCGGATACTCGTGTGCCATCCTAAATTCTACAGGTATGCTCTGCTGGGGAGCTGGTTATCAACAGATGGGAAATATATTTCTGTGTCAGTTTGTAATGTATGAATCCCACCTCCTTCCATCAGTACAAATTGGCTTTTACTCTCCTGTGTTTACGCTCACCAAAATATCTACATGCTGTTAGTACTGTGAAAAGTTTGGGTGACACTAAAACCTCCCTGGTGAAAACTGGAAGTTGCTGTAGCCATGGGTGCCTGTGTCCCTTGAGAGGATAACAGGTGGAGGTGCTGAGTCTGGGATGTGTAGGCAGGAAGGAGTTCTCAAGGTTCTCTTGGAAGAGGACTAAGTTCTATAATGGCCCAGTGGGATGCAGGGTCAGTTTTTT